CCCGGGAGGCCAGACCCGGGGGAAAACCCTTGGGGTTTTTTGCCGGGAGGGGCTTGGGGGTTTTCCCCCGGGGGGGGGGGGGGGGGGGGGGGGCGCCGTTAAGGGTGCCGTGAGCCTCACCGTCGCCTGCTTTTTTGGAATTCGCGTTACGACTCTCCGCCCTCATGTTTTGTTTGATCTCTCTGGGTCTCGCGCTGTCGCCGTCTTGTCCGCTGTGTCCCTTCCGCCAACAACCCATTGAAAACGAAAAGGAGGAGGACAACAACAACAACAACAACATGGGGGTTACCGGATTGTAGTGGGTGGAGGTAGTGGCGGTCACCGGGGATCCGCGGGGGAGCAACCGCAAGGTGGTCAAGAAGAGCCGCTTCTTTTTCCCCGGGTTCAGGGAGGAGGGGGGGGAGGGGATGCGGGGGTATGGGGTCACCCGGGGGGGGTTCCGGGAGAATAGGCCTTTTTTGATCGAGCGGGATTTGGGGGGGGTGAGCGACCCCGGGAGGGGGGGGGGGGGGGGGGCGTACTCTTATGTTCTGCATGCCCCAGCAGTTAGATCATTGACGAAACGTCCTCGAGAGGACGGAGGACGGGGGTGGGCGGGGGTGTAGTCGTAGTCGTGCATGCCGTAGTCGGTGGACCGTGTTGACCTAACATCCCTACAAATCCGGGACGGAGCCCGCCGGGTTCTCACCGGACCTGGCTCTCACATCACCAAACGCAAAGCGCCGTGAGGTATTCGGCGAGTCGCATGAAGGGTGCGCTGCATCCTGCTAAGGGTGTTTGGCATTTTGTTGTTGCTTCCTTGCGTACGGATGACAGCTGCCAATGACCTAATTATTTTCTTGTGCTTTTGACTTCCAGAGACAGTTATAAGAACTGTGTAGCTGCCCCGAGGGTGCTTGACCAATTTACACAACGTGGTGCGATCACCCCCTTTGCGCGGAGTGAGGGTTCTCGACCCCTCACAACATGATCTACTCGACCAGCATGATGGTTACCGCAAGAAAAGAACAACGGCATGAAAAGAAATGCGGTAACATTGTTGTCGAGCTCACGAAGCTATCGGCTTGTTTTACAACGTCGCTGCCAAGCGACGAAACCCAACCCCGATGGCAACCACCGGCGGGGTGTACGGGGGGGGGGGGGGGGGGGGGGGAAAAAAAAAAAAAAAAAAAGGTTTTTCCCCCCTTTAACCCGGCGGGTTTTTGGGGGGGGCCGCCCCCCCCTTTTTTTTTCCCCGGGGAAAAAAAAAAAAAAAAAAAAAAGGGGGGAAAACCCTTCCCCTTTCCCCCCATTTTTCAACCTTCCCCAAAATTCAAAAGGGGGGCCAAATTTTTTGGCCCCCTTTTTGGGGGACCCT